AAAAGAGGTTTTGTCAGTTTTTTTGTTTTCTAATTAAACAATATATTGTCGTTTGATTGTAGGTGTTGTTGTATGTAGAATAGCCTTTCAATAATGTGAATATTTAGTTAATTCACCTTATTATTTATTGACACAATCATTACATCGAAAAAGAATCATTATCATCCAAAGTTGTTATTAGGTTTCCAATAATCACATTCAATAAGTTTTTGGATAAATTCTTTAGTTTTTAAATTATTGTTAATCCCATATTGTTTTGTTAATGTCTGCAAATCTCGATGAAATAATATTTCAATTAATGGAACCAGTTCTTCTTTTTTCGATGTTACTGGTGCAGTTAGAGCTGTCGCAAAATGTCATAGATGTTGATGTCCAAAGAAGTTTTACATCTAAAAGAATATCACCATGTTGGGCCGTATCTAATAAACATTTATATCGTCTTCATCTAAATATGTATCATTAAGATTAAGCATTACTGTTTGATTGTATTCATCAAAACTAGCTTGTGTACTTGTTGCTATTTCAAATAAAGTTTCATAGATGATGCATACCGTACAAGTAAAATTGTTTTTATATTTACATGTAGTACGTCATTTAAGAATAATTTTATGTAATTCTTCTTTATTTATTACTGATATTTTTTCTATGAATATTGTCGATTATGTGCTGTCAAATAATGAGCATAGCATCAAGTTTTCTAACTAAGATCATGTGTAATAATTACTGGATATATTTGATATACAACACTGCGACCAAGTCCTTTGATCCTTCTTTCTTTATGATTCATTTAATATGAACCCATGGTACACATCCATCAGACCACCAAAATGTGTCAACAAAAGATTCCACTAGTAGATGAGTTCTTTATTAACAATAAAAATTCTTTGCTTGAATTGTAACGTTTTGTTCAATATTACATGCTTTGATTGGAACTCAACATAGAAAACAAATATGATGACGTTAGATTTCTCATTCAAGAAATCAATGCTACCTCTATTACCAATAGGAATTTCATAACAAACAGTTTTAGTCTGCCTGATTTACAAAGTATTCTTTTCTCGTCTTCACATGAAATTTGATGGAAATCGTCGAAAAATGACTCATATCTTCGGCTAATTTTAATCATTTGCCTTGAAATTTTCTCTAATGAGAGCTCTACTATAATCAAGTTTGTCTGAAAAATTCCACGATCGTTATGATCGGTGTAGAAGAGACCCATGCTGAGTCTGTCTTAGACAATGAAGGCATCCCTGCTCGTCAAGTTTACAGCGGCTTGAAGTACTCTACCTGTGACACGCTACAGACATGCGAATCTTTAATATGTTAATAAGAAAAGGAAGGTTAACACATTTAAATAGTAGAAAACTAGTGCAGTGTTTTCATCATAAATCCTTTACATTAAGGTCTATCGGTCTCGAGTTACTGCTTGTCATTACAGCTTACGAAACTGTATTCATAGTCAAAAAAAATCAAGTAAAAGGATTACATAGAAACTTGAAGTTAAATAGGATCACTTGAATCGACGAATCCTCCAACAATAAACATTTCATTTAAATCTACAGATGAAAAAAATTACAACGAATACAATCAATTCATTGCTTTTATATTTGTTTTGTTATTCTATATAACGGGTGCCTCGAAATAATGCAACAGTTTGATTTTCTGTTTTTGAAGAAAGGAAGCACTATTCGAAGGCATCATTCTAAAGACACTCAGTAGAGAATTTTTCTTTCTATGAAAATGTAAACTTCGTTTTTTGTTAAATCTTAAGTGTCAACAGATAGAAAATTTTATGCTCTATGCTTCCAAGATCTTCTCAAGACTCCTAATCATGTCGTTTAGATGCAAAAAGCTCGTATTTTCAAAAGTTAGCGTGCTGTTTGAATGATTTATTATTATATAATCGGATGCACAACTCAATTCTGAACAACGGAAATCTTTAGATTACCCATCATGACATAAAGTTGCCAGAAAGGCTTTTGCACCATTTTTTAATTTTTGCTTGAAAAACTATTTTTCCAATAATTTTTTTTCTAAAATTGCTAAACATCGCGATATGCAACATATTTCGAATTTCGTCGGAACTGTTATTTAAATATATTTTTAATAATTGTTTTGCTTTTTGACAGTTGCAGTTCAATGGTTGGGTGAGTGATTGTTAATCTTTTTGATTTTTCTGCGACAAAAAAAATGTATATGAAGAGCAAAATCCACAGTTTTATGGAGAAAAAAAATTGTCTATCGAATGATATCTTCAAAAAAAAAGGAAAACTACTCTCATTTTTTACGGGTCACCCGTCATTTTCATACTACCGCACTGTCAATTAAGTAAATAATGTCATGTGGTTCAAACAAATATTTTCTTTATTAATATTCTTGTCATATTTCATTATAATGCAGCAAATAATAGATTCATTGTTATTCAAATAGTATAAAAAAAACAAGAAAAAGAAATAATTATACTCTTTCATATCTTTTTTTTTTCTCCAAGTTCATATAGTTCTTTAAAAATTAATCCAATAATTTTAAGCGTCTCTTGTATTCAATTTTTTTCTGTTACTATATGACTACTAACAGTCAATAAGATGATTTTAATAAATTATGAACAATAGAAATGAACATTTTACAAAATTATATTTACACCGTATCTTCATGACTCTGTCCAATACGTGCTCGTTCAATAGGTAATAATGATTCATAACGAAAATCTCTTTGATAATAATTATTATTATTAAATACTCCATTTGATGAATTTTCTATAGATATTTTTGTATCATTCATATTTGAAATTTCTCCAGTACCTAATAAAAATTCATCATCTGGTGTTAATTGTTCAAATTCATTTGCATAGAGTTCTTCAAGTGTTGGTCGACGACATCCTAATAAATAACCAATAAGTCCAAAAACAGCTAATGTCAAAAAGATAAGACCAAAACAAATGAGTACGATCGACCAGAATGGAAAAAAACCTATAAAAATATGAATATTTATTTTCTTTTTATCGAAAATCAAAATATCAAATCAAATCAAACCTCGAAGTAAATAATCAGGATTAATACGATCGAACATATCTGTTCGTCGAGCACTGGTCATTTCATAATGTGTTCGAGCTCCATAGCCAAGATCATTTTGTTCTCTTAATTGATCAGGTGTTAAAAATTGACCATTACAAATGAGAATGCTGCTTAGTAATAATAATTCTAAAAGAATTTTTGATTGAACAAAAAGAAAACAAAATATCGAATAGATAGGACATACTTATTATGACCTTGATAGAAGCCATGTTCTGCTAGGAGACCATCCACGAATATATGTGTTTGTATAAATGAACGGAAGAATAAAAAAAAAAGGAAAGGGTCAACAAAAATGTGCTCGTGAAAGCGACCACTAGTGACAGGAAGGTGAAATTGAAAGAGAGAGAAAGTTGAGGTGTATATATATATGAGTACAAGAAAAAAAAAGAATCGTCCAAAGAGAATGTGTCGTTTGTCGAAGGACAGAAACAGAACTAACGTTTCGTTCATTTATGTTCGCTTGTTCTCTATACTTCTTTGAATTTAATGTATATGTCTTTATGAAGAAGATTTTAATACGATGATTGAATCAATAATTAATATGCATAAAATAAGAATAGATGATTTTGATGAGACTCTTCTCTATATACGATTGACCATTGATTTTTTGAACTTATATTTAACAAAAATTTTTGAAGTTTTCACAAATGATGTAAAAGAATAAAATTTTGTCTTTTCTTTGAAAATTTCAATATTAATTATGCATAGAAATAAATTCAAAATGATATTTACCTGCTTTTATTATCTAGTAAAAGCAAATATTCGAAAAGGAACTGATTAAAGAGGTACAACGATACTTCAACCACGATGGAATATTCTTACTCATGATTTAATTATTTCACGAAACCTTGGGTACGCTTTATTCTTTAACTGTGAGATATGCAACTGTTTAGAAAAAAATCATGCGTGTCCAAGTTAACGAGTATTTCTTTCTGTATATGTCTGCTTGAATTGTTTCATTTGGCAAATGACATGTAAGAAAAAATACTACTGTTGTACAAGTTTTGTTTTTCTTGCAAACATTTGCAGATATAGAATAGTCCATCTTCGAAATGTTCACCTAAATATGATAACATCAAACGACTATGATAATAAACTATGATGTTGATCATATATATTACAGAGATCATGTATTCTAGTCTTGAAACTATTGAATATTCGTTCTATAGTGTTCTTATCATAAAGACAGTCAATATATTCACAAACTAGACCAAGAAAATTTATTAATCTGGATGAACTTTACGCTAGAATAATTACCAAGACTTAACATCGATCACAATTATTGACAGGCTATTTTCTTCTTCATATTAAACATCATTTGTAAATAAAAAATTTTTTTTCATAATTCATTTGTTGTCTTAGTTAAATCAATTAAATTTATGTTTTTATTGACTATATACTCATTTATATTTGCCAAATCGTCAAACTATTCTAATCTCAAATAACCAAATTTTACTAATAAATTTTCTGATTTTCATCAATACTGTCTCTCTTTTTTTCATACATACTCATACACAGATGCCCAATGGTATCAAATCGTATCGTCTTCACATGCATACACACACACATAAAATAAAAATACAGTACACATACACACACTCTAATACATCTGCCAAAAAAATACGCACACACGTGCATATGAATGATGACGACGATAATAAAGATAATGTTAACAATAAAAAGAAAAAAAAAAGAACTGAAACAAAAAACACAACAAATATATAACTGTAAAAAAAAAAATCTCTTATTGTTTTTGTTTTTGATAGTGATGGCAGAATGGAAAGACATGCATACATAGATATAGTTGAGAACAAAAAAAAAGATATGACCGGAAAGAAAGGAAATGATGAAGATTGCTTCTTTTTTCTTTGTACATTGTAAAAACAAACAAACAAATGACGAACATATACATAATTATATATAATCTCATCGTATAATTTTATGTTGTCCATGTTCTTGTTTAACATGATCAATTATACTAGATGTTGCTGTAGTCGGTAATAATATTCGTCCATTCCAATCGTTATCAAAATAATTATTCGTATGATTTAATTGTGATGATAATGATTGTCGATTTACTGCTGGTGGTGTGATGAGATCATAGAGAAAATTAATATCACCATTTGGATCATAATTAGAAACATTTGATGATGATGATGATGCTGTTGGTGTTTTTATTGCTTTTGAACGTTTTAAAAATAGTAATCGATCATTTGATGCATTGGTAAAATATTGTAAAACTTGTCCATGATGATCATTATTAACAGTATTATTAAATAATGTTGCATTATGATGATTTAAATTCGGATCAGTTAGAGAATTTGTATGAAGAAGATGAATGTGGGATAGATCATTTGATAGATAATCATCATGTCCACTAAATGAAACATTATGAATATCATCATTAATTGATTGTGATGTAATCAAAACTGAATTTGGAACAGGCGTAGCTAATGATGGATCTGGATAATGATGACTATCTTGAGACTGCGATGCATTATCTTCTAGGTCTGTATCAAGAGAAGATCCATTTGAATCTAGATCGTTCTCCTTTGAAACTAAAAATATATTCATAGGTACAATATATATATATACATGTATATATAAATAGATATAGTTAATATTCAACTAATAAACATAGAACGTGAAGTATTCCTAGAATGTTTATAATCATATGTTTTTTTTAAACACGATAACAGTAACAAAACGATTTTACTTATTAGTCAATTATATAAGCATGCAAACAAGAAACTATAGTTATAGTTGTGCTGTGCATATCAACAAAACTGATATAGATTTTATTTGTGTTAGTACATGTATATTGTTTATAAGTTAACATAGAGGTATTCTTACTTGAATGACATGGTGATGATTTTTTAGTAGTTATCATATGTATTGTATTAGTTGTAGTGGATATAATCGACTCTTGACAATCGTCACGATACCTATCTGAACTTAGAGAACTGCAAATATTTTGACATTTACTCTAGTTTTTTTTTTTTATGTTGTCTTATTCTTCTAATTATCTCATTGGAACTATCAAATTAAATTGTCATTAAAACTTACTTAGAAGCATTTCATTAATAAGATCATCAACTTGTTTTGTATCTTGATTATAACGTGCAACTAAATCAACCATAAGACGAGCTATATTTTGTAATGGAGGCATTAATAATAATAATTCTCCAAAACGTCCACGCATTAATGGTTTTAGTTGATTTATATAATTTTCAAGATTAACTTGTATACGTTTACGTAATTCTTTAACACGCATTGGATCTGATAATGATTTATTATCTAAAAAGACAAGAAAAAAAAGATAATAAATCAATCTTTTATGTAATATATAAATATACGAACCATTATCAAAAAAAACAATAGCTTTTAAACAAGAATATTCTTTTTCATCTAATTGAATTTCTTTTAATGGTTTAACAATTTCATCAAGAATTCTACTAGCTGCACGAGTTAAACCTGGATCAGATGCATTTCGTGGTATAACATAATGATTACCCAAAAGTAAATAATCATCACAATTTAATGAACGACAAGCAAGACCCAAAACAAGATTTTCTCCCGTATGACCACGTAAAAGAGCAATCTAGATTAATTATATTATTAAATAAAATGTATGAAATTCGAATATGTGTGTGTGTATATATATATTTTTTTTCTGTTTATCTTACTTTATCTGTATCGGATAGATCAATAAAACTTTTTAAATCTTTTGCCCATTCAATTAGACTACGAAGTTGATAATTCATTGATATACCTATTGTTTCTAATGTAGCTTGAACACGTTCTGTATTGGACGGATGTCGATCAAGTTGAATTTGTCGACCAATATACTAGAAAATACAAAAAATAATAAAAATATTTTATTTTATTTTCATACTTCTTTAGCTGTTTGTTCAGCTCTTAAGAGTGCCATTATACTAAGATCATCTTCATCGTCATCAAGACTACCACTTAGATGTTTGATTGATTTTATTGTGACCAGTCGAGAATTATAATTATTACTGCGTTGTCGTCCAAGACGATCTCTTTCTTTTTGTACAGCTATAAGATTCAAAATGGAAAATAAATTATATATATATATATTATTCACATCATATATTTACCATCTCTTTTCATGCCCATTCTAATACATTTTCTATAAAAATTAAAGTACGAATAGATTTATATAAAGTTTATATGAAGTAAACATACTTCCATCGACAATGACGACATTGATTACGTTTATCTTTGTCGATTGTGCAATTATTTTGATGTCGACATTCGTATACAGGATTTTTTCGTACACTTCGTCGAAAAAATCCTTTACAACCATCACATGATATTGCTCCATAATGTTTGCCTAAATACATATTAATATATAATTATTGAATTCAATTAATTATCATGTACCTGTCGCTCGGTCACCACAAACAACACAATCTAAGATTTCATTATTATTTCCAATAGTATTATTAGTTGTCGAATTGATGCCTAGATCCATAGCCGTCGAGCCTCCTCCATTGCCAGCATCACCGTCAAAACAATCGTCATTAATTTCACGTTTAATGATTATTTTTGTTTCATCAAATTCACCACTGATTCTGGGTCGTTGCACTAAACAAAACAATAAAATAAATGGCAAAAATGAAAATGTTAAATAATAAAAAAACTGTATGATTATTATCAATGCTATTTGTCGATCGTCTACAAAGTGTCTGATACTTACTGGTATGTCTTTTTGATTGAGGGAATTTGTCGAAACAAACAGTCAGCGAAAGAACGAAAAAAGAGCGAGTAACAACAAAAAAGAAAAGATAAGACAAACGAATCAAGAATATTCTAGCTCCCTCAAAAGCAGCATATAGCAAAGGAGTCTTTTTTTTAAATATCTAACACACACCAGATGCGTGATTCATTGAACGAAGACACGTCTGTCTGTTGATTTTTTAAAATAAAAAGCTGTCAAGGCGTACGGTGTTCGTCATCGCTATTGCTTATCCTTTCTTTCTTTTACGCTTCTGTTCGCTTTCGTCATATATATTTATCATTGGTTGATTACTTCTCTTTTTACATGCATCTGTCGACACTGTTTTCTCTACTCGAAAAGCCTAAAAAACACTTTCCACTTATGTACATTATTCACGGTGACATCACTGCTATATTACAAACAAAATCTTTCCTTTTTTTTTTTAAAGTGGCAACTAATATATTATTCTGCACTGATTTATAGGAAACAAAAACGTCAGAAGTAGCAAAACGGTTAAAAAAAACATATGTGGTACACTATGACCTTCATAATAAACACGAGCAATGTAGTAAAATAATAACGAAAAAAAAAACAATCTTGATCTCTTTAAAATTTACGCATAAATGTTAAAATAACATAGCTTACCTGTTGATACCATTATTAATGATATTTATAAAAAAAGAATCATAATCAAAAATCTAAATATGAAAAAAAAATCATGTACTAAATAAAGATAAAATTCTTTTTAATATGTATATGTAAGATATTTTTTCCCTTATACACTTATTTGACCTCAGAATATAAACAATATTTATTTTCAATTTTTGACAAAACAACACAACTGTTGTAATTTAATATTGCGTCTTTTCAAAGTCACCATCGATTTGTCTTTTCGATTGGTACCTCTCGCATAAAGTCGCATTTTTATCTAGCATCTTCATTTGTATTACTCATGCCTGCACGATCAAATTATTCAAGATCAGCGGCATAAATGTAAAAGAACATGCCATTGTATGATCAACAATCATGTTAATCGTCTCAAACCTTTTACTACGTCATCAATGGTCAATCGTTTAAGTCAAAAAAGAAAACCTATTCGGAAAAATACTAATGTACGTATAAGCTTAGATTAAAATCAATCAAATTAAGCGATTGACAAGATCAATCTTGACATATCATATTTTGAAAAACAAAACCTATGCAGAATCTGCCGAGAACAAAAACCGAGAGAAAATAAAAATTTTGCTGTCAACTAAAGAGAAAAATATATGAAAAGATACCTTTAGTCATATCAAAAGATATGTACGTACCTGGGCAAATAATAAATTACTTTTTAGATGAATCCTACGTGATTAACCAGGCTCTATTAAGATAAGAAAGTCTTAAACAATACGCGTCCATAGGTCTTTTTTTTTCTGCTATACTCATTTTCATGCGGTTTCTCAGAAATAAATATTATCATCTCATTCATATTTAAACTTTCCACAAATTAAATTCTCAGTTTGTAAATGTATGATATTTTCTTGTATCTTGTATCCTCATATACTATTACTAATACAATGAACTATTCCAAATTGAAGTTTATTTATGCAAAATTTGTACGTGAATGTTGACATTGACGGTGACCCGAAAAACATGATCACATTTGTTTTCTTGTTTTGGAAAGACTCGTCAAAATGAATATAACTCAAAAAGAAAAACATATCGACCGAAATTCATTTAGACTTTTTCTTGTCGTAGTAAAATCTACCTAATAAGGTAAGACACATCTCATAAACAATAACTCATTTGCTACGGTGATAAACACACAGCAATAACACTCTATGATCGATCATGTATGAGACTGAAAAATCAAGTTATTAACATAATAATCTTTGATAAAATAGCAAAATCTCATATAGAATCAGAGCTGCGAGGATAAACATCTTTTTGAAAGAGAAAAATCTGAATAGAATACGCTTCTATTAACTTCTCGAATCTAATCGTTATACAGTAATATTCAAAATAGTATATGTAATTATGATTATGTATAATATATTCATATAAACATTAATAATTCAATATACAACAAAGCTGTTGATAAGATCGGAGAATACAACGATAATCGAAATAATATGTCAATGATCTTATTTATTCTAAAATAGACTTTCGATTTGATGATTGATCAAGAGTGGTAACTGGTCATAATATTTAGTAGCATAGCTACAAAAAAAGGGTTGATAGAGTGAAATAGAAATAGTCTTGGCCTGTCGTTTATATCTAGACTTATAATAGCTTCTGCAGATAGCTAAGTGTTTCTGATTATATCACTAATACAATGTCACTCGTCATGGGAAATCCAAACATGAATTACTACTACGCACATCTATCATATTCAACGATGTGATGATACAGACTATTTTGAGTACTTCTTCCGACTCAGCATAATTCTTCAGGCACATGATTAAAAAAGACAGCGTAGTTAAAAATGTTCATAATAGAAAATCTTCTTCCTTTTTGTTTTGTTATTAATTTCAATCCTGCGCTAAATGTAACAAAGATTGTGTCTATTCTATTTCAATTAATGATGAATATTAAATGTTTCTATTCTCTTACGAAACAAAGAGTTTAAGAAAAGTGACTTACATTTAAGATTATTATAAATTCAATTGACATGCGAATGATTTATTAGGCCAAAAAAAAAATTAATTGAATGTAAATAGAAAGTACGACATTTAAATAAGTTTCTTTCCATTAATAAATTCAATGAAATTTGTTTTTTTTAATTTTCTTTTCTTTCGTAAATATTCACTTACTTGACGTGGGACAGTAATGAAAAATTATTCAGTAGTACATCAGATAAAGAGTTCAAAGAAAAATTAAAAAATAATGATCATATATATAAATATTACAGAATAAACAAAGCGACAATGGAGGTGTGACCAATAGGTATATTTCAGCGTTTAAAAATCTACGTAATGATTTCTAATGCGATGTTTTTTTTGTACTAATTTGGAAACGAAATGAGTTTTATTGCGTATTTTTATATGAAGCTGGTGAAAACATTAATGACATCTATTGATTATAATAAATTCAGACCTCTCAACAGGGGTAGTTACAATCAATACTGTCCTATATGTCTTGATTTTGTTGTCGTTTACTGTAGCGATACATTGTAAACGTTGTAAATTAAATTAAAAATTAGATAATTAAGCGAATTTTTGATACGTATTCGCATTCTGAAATCTTTTTTTTTTGTTCTTTTTTCTATGTACTCCATTCAAAAATAATGAAAGCCTTTGCATTGAAGCGCTATTTTATACCCATAATCAATTTTCAGGAACATCGAAAATCTATATAGTTCGAGTTTATTTAAAAATTAAGAAAATGTTCATGTTGGAAAATATTTTCTTAAAATAGACATTTAAAATGACAACAAACTATCCATCATTTATTCGATATCAATCACTCGAAGCAACACAAGTTATTCCATTATTTGATTCAACATCAACAAAATATACCTCAACACCACCATTTAAACCAAAAGCTGGAGAAGTTTATGTACTGAAACTTGATATTGGACATGAAAGTAAGTTTCAATTCCAGCGAATACCATTGTCCATCCACTATATAAAGTCTGGAATCATCTAAACTTCTATGGAAGGAAAAGTTAGGTATATCACGGATCAGAATTTTAACGAATAAGAAAATCTTCATTAAATGTTAATTGGATATCGAATAACGTCAAAAAACAACAACGATGTTCATATTCATCCAAAAAAAAGAACGTTTAATATAGAATGTAAAGTTTTAACTGAGAAAGTTGATTGCTGAAGGACTATGCTAACTTACTGTTGAACAGTTGGAAAATGGTATAGAATTGAGACGTATTGTGAAGCAAAATGATTGATATACTGTAACAGAGAGATCATCATGAAGTTACAACGTTATCGAACTATGATCCATCGGTTAAGGTTGATTTCTGATCTTATATAGTAAATAAAATTAGTTAATTCTGTTCAATTTTTATGATGAACAGAAAATTTATAAAATATACTGAATATCATTTTTAGACGATTGGCGTAGTGATGGTTATCGTTGGGTACAAATAGCTGCACGCCGTTTACCAACACATAATCCAGTAATAAAAAAATGTTATTTTCATGCTGGACAAAAAAATAAGAAAAAAAATAAAGATTTCGAAAAACAAGCATTTGTTTCACTTGTCGATCCATCAAAAGTTGTTATACAATATCTTGGTGATGAAAATGTTGCTGAAGAATTTCCACATGGAAATTCAAAAAAAAATAGTAAACCATTTTTTCGTACACGTCCATCACTTCTTAATAAACTTATAAGTGAAGCAGCAACAAATAATCAAGCAGTACAAATATTTAAGCAATATACAAGAAAAAATTCTCATGAACAAGATAATAATAATAATAATAATGACGATGATGATAATGAAGGAAATAATTCTACTGAAATAGATGAAACATTTGATGATAGTCAAAATAATCAAAAAAAGAAATCATTAAAAATTCTAAATTCATCTAGTATCAAAAATGAAAATGAAATTGGTTCTGAAATTTTATTTCGTCCTCGTAATATTGAACAAATACGTAATATAAAAAGACGTTTAGCACGTCATCTTGTTGCATCAGCTGATGAAATATCTGATTTATATCATTTTGCATGTCAAACACCAAATTATATTGTACGTTTTACATTAATACCAAATGTTGTTGCTGTTGCATTTTCAAATCAATCAATGCATGAATTTAATTTATTACTAGATCATTCTGATCTTCTATCACAACAACATGTTCTTATTACATTTGATTCATCATATACGATTAATACATTTCATATTACATGTATTTTCTATCGACATATTGCTATGAAAGAGGAACCATGCATTTTACTCGGTAAGATTTATATCGATTTAATCATAAGAAGAAAAAAATGCAATAGGATATAGAGGTAACAGTATCAATGATTAATATTTTTCTTATTGAACACTCAGATAGATAATACGGATTTCCTAATAGGCAATATCTTCACAGAAGAACTCTCTATTGTGAATCAGTAGCAATAAATGTATTTTTTTATTTCAATAAACATTGTGATAGTATTCGTCGTCTATAGTTTCATATAGTCTTAAGCATTCTTATTCGAAAGATCGACATGAATATTACAGTCTACAGACAATTGAGTTGTGAAACCGAATTATTATATTTTGTTGTATGATTTTGCATATATATATATACATCTCATAGTTGAAGCTTTAGAAAGAAGCATTATAAACATACTATTTCTAAATTTTTCAATACTGGTTCTATCAAGAACAAAATTATTCTGATTTATTAATATACGATAGAATAAAAGAGATAATATAAAAACTTTAAGGTGAATTCAAATAAACAATACATTCAAAAATTCGAAACATAAATGACAACATAAGTTTTCTATTCTGATGAAACGAATACATTGAAAATTTTCTGACCAAGAGAAAAAAAACATGGAGACTTGCAATTTTCAAATACAAGTGTGTAGAAGAGCATATTAAAATACGAAGTAGACACGAATATGATAAATTATTCGTAAAATTAAATGTGTGGAATACGCCGTTTACTTCTTTATTCATACGAATGAATTCCTTCAAGTGATGGAAAGTATAAATTTTTCTGGTATTTGAAATACGAATATTCAAACAAATACTTTTATCTAATCGGTTATATTATTTCTTGTTCTTATCACAGGTGAATATACTCTACTCAAGCATTTTTATCTTTACTGGAGACGTTTTGAGAGAAATTCCAATAAAACAGGTCCAGATACATTTAGTTTAGCACGTGGAGTAAACTTTTTATCGGTCTCTTGAAAGTAACGTGGGTGTGACAACTCTTAAGACGGTGGGTACACCTTTGAATTCATACCAGATTAAATGTATATGGTGATCGATATGTTTATGTCTTTTTTTTTTGAGCTTTGATCTTGTTTTAATAAAAACAAATTTCAATATTGGTATCTTAGAAAAAGAGACACTAGAAAATGTTATACATTCACAATGAACTAGTCTGATTGAGAATTTAATTTGTGCAATATTTGAATTTGAATTAGATCTGAGATACGACGGTGATCACTGATCTCGACATACACTATAGAATAGCGATGAAGATTGCGAATGCATGATAAAACTATGGTAATCTTAGATTCATTTCGAGTTTTTCGATCAAAGAAGAAAATAGCTGAATTTTATAAAACATGATTAAACCTTGAGAACTATCCCTTTTTCAGACGGAGAAAATTGAACTCGAGAGTTTCGACGAACTTCATATAAATTTGGATTCTTGCATCCTGAAAAGTCTATTTGTTTTAGATGACCTACCAGTCGACCGAAAAAGTCGAAATTAATTTGAGATCACCATAGTTTTATTATGCTTTGACTATCTTCACCATTAGTCTATATATTAATGTCAAGACCAGTGCGTTGCTATCATTACATCCATTAATAAGATCATGATATGCTTTTGAAAATCTTATCAACTAAACGTAAGACTTATGTCAAAAGGAATTTATAATTTTCTCAGATCCTCTCGCTAGTTTCATAATAGTTTTCATACAGCTAAAATCTGCAGATTTCTAACCGATTGATACAGTCAAGAAAAAAAAATTTTCTGTATTTTAGGTTGTGCATTACATAATCGTCGTTGTGATGATGTATATGAATATATCTTAACTCATTTAAAACAACAATGTCCAAATATTGAATCTCGTTGTTTATATGTAATTGATAATGATGGTAATACATTAAGAAATAATTATTTATCAATATTTTTACCAAATTTACGTATTATTCATACATGGAATTATATTTTTTCTCAATTACATGCGTGGTTATTACAAAATGGTCGTACACAGACTGATTATCAATTTTATCTTGCTGAAATAAAATCTCTATTCTTATGTGCTGATATGAAATTATTCATGCATTCATATGATCGTTGTAAATCAAATTGGGCACAAGAATTTCGAACGTATTTTGAACAAATTATTTTACCATTAGTTGATACTGATCTTGGATCATGGATATTAAGAAAATATCATCTTTTTGATGCATTTTCAGGTATAAAAGGTCTAGTTTGTGAATCAATGCAATTTGTGGTAAGCTCTATTTTCATATTCGTTTATCTATTTAGACTTATTTTTGAAATTTAGTCTGCACAATTACGAGATTGGCGTGAATCTCGTATTGATAGTGGTGCGATGGTTTTCTATTGGTTACAAATGTATTTTATTCAACAATTGCGAAAAGCTTATACTCATCTTGATGGTATTTATACATTAAAACAAGCTAAATATGATAAATGGGCAGTGAACGCTATGACATCAATCGTTTCTCATGAACCCATAACAGTTTTATCACCAGATCAAATTGTTGACCATGTTCGTGCTAATATTCTCATGTCATCTAAGGATCATTCACGTTTACAAGGTAAATCTTCTAATGAACAACAAATTTTAAGATTATCACCAGTTAAACGTCTTAAAACAACAGATTTAAAACCAACATTACTTGTTGCAACTCAACAACCAAGAACAATGACCGTAATTTAAAATAAAAAAAACATAAAAGATCCATTCGTATCAGATGACGGTCTTTCATTTGAATATTTATCTACAGCATGTTATAGAGCAATTCGTGCCGCATAGAATAGTATATACGAAATTGTTTTTTTTTTCATTAAGTTTTAATGTTCTAAGAAGCCATATACTATAAAGTAGTTAAATAATATTATACTCATTGTGAGAGATATGATCGAATCAGAGTTCGGATGAAAGTATTTGTACTTTTTTCGTATTTTTTCAAGTAAGAGTATAAGTAGAAGTACTTATCAAATGTACTTGGTACTTATACTTGTACTTTGAAAAAAGTACTTGGCACCTATACCGGGTGAGTCATAATGACTCCAACATCTATTATTTTGCAAATATCTCAGCACAGATATATCGTATAATCTCGCCTTTTTTTAAGAAGATGCTCTGTGAAACTCTAACAGTGTTCGGGGTGGAAGAGCCCGAATCTGTAATCTGTTCATGAAATTTTCAAAATACTAGATATTGCAGTCACTATGACTCACCCGGTATAAGTACCAGGTACTTTTTTTAAGACACAAATACAAGTACCCAGTAATTTCTTTTTTGCAAAGTACAAGTACATTTTTTAAAGTACCAGTAAAATACGGTTACTTGCCATACTTGTACTTGCCCTATTTCTGGATTGAATATTAGGACTAACTATGTTTCGAAACCAACCTATATCAAATACTTTTAATATTAATCCAATAGGGTTTTGTCTTGTCTTCAATTGTGACCTGATGTACCTATAAGACTTAGGAAGAGAAAGTTATATCCTTTAACTGGTATATGGCTTCCCAACACATTAAAACTTGATGAAGAAAGCAATTTCCTATATACCATTTGATGCAGCACGAGTTTCTCTAAAAAACAGTATAGATGACTTTTCAAATGAAGGATGATCATTTTTTTCCGACACGCTTCTTTAAGACTGTCAATTTAGATACATCGAATTACTCCAACAACTAATCCACAAACTGCATTTCGTCTTGCAACCGTACCATCTTCTCAACAATCACAACAATTTATTCTTACAACAACTACTAGTACTTTACCCGTTTCTCAAACAACGACTTGTTTAATTGATAATACATCAAAGTATAATAATGATACAACAGATTTAACGAGATGTTTAGTCACAGCATCATCTCAAACATCAAATACAACAATAAATCAAACATATCCTTCATTTGTTTGTCCATCTGTACCATCAAATGTTCTACGATTAACAGTAGTACGAAAATAAAAAACAAAAGTCTTGTTTTCCTTTTATTGATGATTGTATCCTTGTATGTTCATGTACAAAATAAGATACGTTGTATATAGAAACTGCTTTTTTGTTATTGTTTTTCTTTTATAAATATGATGAACAGAAAGTTTCATGAAAGTTCCATGCACTGCATCGAAAATCGATTTTGGACAGCAAAGGTCTTAACGGTAATAGTTAAGACAAGTTATAGAAAATGTTTGATTAGCTGAAAAGATTTCCTATCAAAAGAGATATTTGTCGAAATTCCGTTAATATCTTTGAATAAGAGATTTCTGTAAAAACTAAGACGCTCAAAATTTGTTTTCTGGATTCTATCGAAAATGTTTTGTAAACAACTTTATCTAACAGAGAAAAAATTTCCGACAAAAATAAGATGTTCTCGAACTCTTCACGAATTACCTTCGGCAAATAACAAATCGTTGTACGTTTCGTAGAATGAGTGCAGTTCGCTGGAGATAAATCATGAAAAGCTCAGAATTATCTTATTTAGTTCAGAAATCTTTTCTCTATGGATTGCACTACTCATTATTACTCTTACATTGATTACGTATAATGTATTCTCTTTTTTTTTGTATCAGTTCTATTTTTCATGTCTCAACTCATTACTTTAAGGGCCAACAAAATGGTTATCAGAAACTATTTCTTTTAAACAATACTTATATAAGGTGTATATACAACTGTTATCGTGAGATGGGTTGGATGCGGCATGATTACAATACATATATTAAATTAATTAATTTAATATATATGAGAATGGATGTTAAGGTTAGCATAATGATAAAACTGACTTGAAAAGAATTTTTTTCAAGTACAAATAATAGCTTCAATCAAATGATTTTGGTTCAATATAATGAAGCTTATTTCTAGCAAAGAAATAGAAAATTTTAGTAACAGAAATACCGATAAGATTTTTTCTTATGATGAACAACTTATGAATAATTTATATCATAGAAAATTTAAAAGCAAAAAAGGAATTATTGTATTTTGTTCGAATATCATCAAAAATAACTTAACGATTACAATAAATATTATTTAATATGAATAAACAATTTAACATATAAAAAATTAGGTCAAAATTATTTAATAAATATCTTCTTGAGTCGACTAAATAAGTTGCTTCTCTTTGGACTACGATTAATAATAGGTTCTTCTAAAAATTAAATACACAAAAACATTGTTTGATTAAGTTTTCATAATTAAAAATTCAGAAAATTTACCTTCAGCTGGAGGAGCAGATGGAACAATAAATATTGGCTGTCCGCAATCATATATTCGTTGATTCATTGGGACTTGTGAATAATCATTTGAACGATCAAGACATCGAGCACCTGGATGCATCGAAGCCCCAGGATTATTTTGTAAAGTATGACAATAATAACACATCTGTAAAAAAACAAAACAAAAGATTTAACTCTTTGGTGACGCGAAACATATACATATATGTTTCGTGCTTCCGCACAGATTATAATGTTTGGTACTGTTATATATGTATATATCAAAAGAGAAACAAGGGTTTCTGGATCTGTAAGCATACGGGAATGTGTGTAATCTTTACACTCCAGGTCTTTTCGAGTCCCGTAAAAACCAACAGAACTGTAGAACCGTTATTGCCCGATGGAGCTTCGGCTATTATTCAAGCTTTAATCTCAGAGACCATTACACGTTAGAGTTTATAAGATTTATATTATAATTTGGAGTTCGAAAATTTTCTCGGATTCCGTAAGATTTTGCATCGTTCTATTTAACTATACAGTTCCTGAATCTTACAGAGTTCGATGATCCAACCTGAAAAATACTAAAATAAATTCATAGAACAAAATTAATAGAGAAACTTTTCATCAGAATAAACAAAAATGCTAAACAATGGCATGATTGGATGAAATCTTCTAAATTATAATTACTAAATGAATTTTGACTTAATATATCATCTCAATTGTTATCGTTTCAGTAGCGTTGGAATCATCAAGTAAAGTAAATGAATTTTGAGATATCATATCATTGAATAAATTAACAATAAAGTCAACGTTAATTAAAATACGTGAAGTTCTGTTCCATAGTTTTCGACCATTTAATTTGATGAAGATCATACAACTCGTATAAATCAATTTAAACAAAAAACAAATCACAATAATTGATATTGATTTTTCGAAGGTTAACACTTCTTCACTAAACTTAAGTATTTTCCAAACCATATGTCATATACAGTCATTGCAAGTAGTGCACTACCGAATAAAACTTATATTAAACTTCAATCTGTTTGCCCGATATTTTGACAAAAAGTAGAGCTTGATACACTCTGATCTCAGCAGCAATTTGAGATCGGCAGACCTTAAAACAAAGAATTTGTGTTGACAGCAATGGATTTTTTCCCAAGGACCCAGAAGAAGCTTTTTTGACACTTTTCTGGTTTTCTACTACTTAAACGTGTTAACCTCCATTTTCTTATGAATAAATAAAGATTCGTATGCCTACATTGTGTCAGAGATAAGATAATCCAATCCATTGTAATCTTAAGGCGCAGGGAAGTTTCCATTGTTTGGAACGGTTTCAATTTGGATTTTTATAGCAGAACACTCATTGGCAAATGTTTTACGATAAATGGTTAAAATCAATCGAAGATATGAGTCAATTTTTGATGATTTCCATCAGTTCTCATGTAGAGATGACTCAAAGAATACTTCATAAATCAGGCAAATTAAAGCTGTTTGACATGGTCTTTCTATCGGTGGTAGAGATGGCACTGGCCTCTCGCATGAGAAGCCTAACATCATGAGATTTATTTGCTATGTTGAAATATCCTCGTCTGGAGAAAAAAACGTCTATGTTGACCTTCCAGCTCCTCTCTATGAAAGTCGAACAGGTCGTGATTAGTTCCTACGATTACGAGTGATCGAACTCTATTTGTAGTCAAAACATCAGACAAACAGAGTAAAGCTTAGGTACTTATTACCGGTTAGCAGAACTTTTTGGTACCACTGTACGTTCAATAATATTTTATCATCTATAAAAAAAAACCCGATAACATTTTTTCTACAGTTAGTATACTATTGTTTGAATCAAAGTTTCAAATAGTAATCGGAATCATTGTTATAATATATTCTTCTTCCTTTCCTATAGAGTGCGATCATTTTCTTTCACTTTATTGGGTGCCATTCATCTTGTCCTCCTCCCGGTATCCAAGATGGTACAATCGATTATGGCGAAACAAGATGTTATTAAAATATTTTTTTGCAGCCGAAAACAAGTAAGACAGAACCGAAAAAAATTCCTACATTCTTAATTGCTTGTCTGCATAAAAAATCCATCATTCTTTATGTACATATAAAAAAAAACAACGAAGCCATGATTGCTGCTTCCCAAGACATTGACTATTTCATAGAACGTCAGAGATCCAAACTTAACAAAGTACCTAATCGACAACAGGGAAACCGACAGCAAGGAAACAGACAACGTCCAGCAGCGCCACCACCACCACCTCCTCCACCTCAATCGTTTCCATCCACAAATTTTGAAGATCGATTAGACGTTAAAGTTAATCGAATTCTGGACGAACCATCACCTCGTATTCAATCTCAACAACCTTATTATCCTCCTTCACCACGTCCAATTATTAGTAGTCCTTTTTCTGAACAACAAACAGTTCCTTTCGGTTTTGAACAAGAACAACTTCGTTTGTCAAATGATAGCGGAAATAATAATGAATTTGGATTTTTTGATCGATTTGGAAATCATGATGAACAACGTGCACAACTCAAAGATGATTTAAAACGTGAATATAATGATTTTTTACGAACTCAACGAAGTGTTTCCAAAAATAAGTCAACATCACAAATTGACTCCTCACGTGGAAATACAACTCGACGTGTACAATTTCAACAAGATGGAATTGTTGTTGCACCATGGGAAAAAACTGATAAGAAAACAACGAAAAATCTTTCAAATACGAATGATATATTTTCATCATCAGCATCAACAGCGACAACAGAATATACAACAAATCGAGCACGATCACGTCTATCACAAAATCATGACGAACAATATATTCGTGATCGTGAAGAATATATTTTAGAATTATATGAACAAATACGTGAATTAGAAGCAAGAAAAAGACAATTAGAATTGGGTGCGTTTTATATTCTTTTTTTTTTCAATAATCTATAAATTATAGTCCTTCTTATAGAAAGTACTAAACTATCTACCGGTAACTCATCAAGTGTTACTCGTGCACATTATGCTGAAGATTTAACTGCATTAAATACATTACTTGCCGAACGGTTAAATCAACGTAATGCAATTGATCTTGAACTTGCTCGAATACTTAATCGTCCACCTGTTGCTACAAGTTCAGCACCAATCATTACAGGTGGTGGTGTACCAGCTTTGAATATGTCATTTGAACAATCAAATCAACAAAATAATGATAATCGTTATCGACAACAATATCGAAATGATAGTCGATCAAAGCGAAATAATGACAATGGTTTTCAAATTGGTAATGAAACCGATAAAGAAGCTGAACAAGCAGCAAAAAAACGTTATCAACAAGAACTTCAAGCACAAATGCGTGAAAAACAAATGAGAAAATCACAAGCAAAACAAGAAAAAGATGAATATGAAAGAAAATTAGAATCAGAAATAAATCGTTATAATTATTTTGGTCGAAGTGGTGGTGGTGCACCCATGCGTGATAAAGATGGTAATGTTATAGCTAATTTAGGTGATCTAAGAAATCCACAACAACAACAACAACAATATCAAACACCTCGATCACAGCAACCATATACAGCTATTGATGATAAAGTATATTCGTTAGGAGTTGGTGCAAGTTCAATTACAAATGCACCTTTTTATAATGGAGAACCACAAAATTTATTAAACTCGGTAATTCAATATTCTATATTATGAAATACATATTGATATATACAACGAGAAATTTAAAATTTAATCTTTCTATAGATCCTAACAGACAGATTTTCGGAACTACAGTCTACTATAGATTACTATATATAGACCAACAATATCAACTCTTTATCTTCCATAGTGATTCCAGTTTTTGTAAATCTGATATAGTTCGACGGATAAACATTGTAGAAAGCTCGCTGTGAGCAAATTTTATACTTCAGTTGAAAACGTTTAAAAACTAAAGGTTTGGTTTACTGGAAAATCCGTACTGACCTTTTCTTTGTTGTACCATCTTTTTGTTTTCTACGTAGCTTTTGTGAAACTTTCGAATGGTATTGATAACAATAATAGACATTATCATCATTGTATGTCACATAATACATTTCTATTACATATCTTGTTTCTTGATAGAAAAGCATTTTTGATAAATCCTTTTTTTTTCGAAAATGAAATAACACAAAACAAAATATTTTCTTATCAATTGATAATTTATGGAGTTCACTATAAAACATATTTCCTTTACTTTCTGTAATCGTTCTACCAATAATTACTCTAAAGACCAGGAGACGATGGATTTAAAGGTTAACAATGACGAAATATGATTAGAATGAGTTTGTTTAGGATCGTTCTGGTTCACCAAATCATGCTCGTGGTGCTGTTAGTAATGGCATATTTGGTACAATTAAAACTGAAGAACAAATAATGCGTGAAGAAAAATATAAACAAGATTTAAAAAAACAAATCGATGAAAAACGTCAACGAAATGCTGAAGAATTAGCTCGACGTCGAGCTGAAGAAGAACGTGAACTTGCTAAACATGCCGAATGGCAACAACAAATGGACAAACAAATGGCTGACGAAGCAGCAAGAAAACAAGAAAAAGAAGTACAAGAACGTCAACATCAACAACGTTTACAAGAAGAATTAGAACGACAAAAAAAACAAGAGGAAATTATGATAAAACGAAGTCAATTCTATTTGTCTAATTAAATATTTCTTTCACTAAATAGTTATCTTATCATTTTAGAACCAAAACGACAAGAAAAACCAATGTCACCAAACAATGATGAAAATGATGCTGATAGACAAAATAGTTATGATGAACAACAAGAAGAACCTGTTTATCGAAGTTCATCACCACCAGTACCAACATTAAAAAATAAAGATAAAAAACGAAAATCAAATAATAATACTGTACGACATCAATCATTTGATGATACAAATCAACAACAACTACCACCTATCAATGATAATGATGAATTTACTCAACCACCAATCGATGATAATGATGAACAAGGTCAACAAACTTATCGAAAATTACCAACACCAAAACAACCAGGTTAGATATAGAATCTTAAAAATCTATCTATTGCTATATCTTACTGCTTCTGCTTACATAGATGTACCACCAGCACGAAAAAAACTACCCCGTAAGTCGTTGTGTTTTTAATCAGATGTAATACTGACTAATATTAACACAACATGAAATTGATATTAGTGACAAACTTTAGGGGTTTTGTACTCCTTTAACTTTATTGTATTGTATGTCTATTATATCCTAGTCATTCATCAGGATAAAATGACATACTAATTTTATACTTATCTCTCGTTTTAACAATTCATTTTATTCAATCAATTATGCATTGCTTATTTGAAGTTCATTGCTCGGCATTTGTTGTCAGTATTGAATATCTAAGGCTTTTTTCTTCACTGTTTGTTCAGTATAACCGTCCCTCTAAAGATCGGGCTGGCACTCGCGGAGTTTCTGATTAGTGTACCACTTACTATATGTCTATACTCGCAAAGATAAGTGTTTACCTTCTCGAAGTTTTAACTTGCCGCTTCGGGAAAGAAAGTCTTTCTGAAAACAACTCAACGATAATTCATTATAATGTAGAAAGGTGAAGTCATAATTTGTTATGATTCAGAATAAAAAGTTTTGTCAAGCTTACGAGTGAAGTTTTCCAATCGATTAATTGCTTTTGACTCGGAACTATGCGCCTTATGTAGATCCTAATGAGCAATGAATATTGTGAAAAAAAATCGAACTTTAAGCTTACTGTTGCGCATATACTGCATTTTTACCATATTTTTTAAGTCAATTCTATGATCCCACTCAGGAACACAACGAAAACTGGTTTTCAAGTGATAAACTATGGCATTCAGTTAAAAAATCGTAAAAGTGCAATATTCTCGGAGTAACAAGTTAAGAGCTTGAACTTTTTTCAGGATATCTTAATTCATAATGAGTTCCATGATATACATAGCCTCGGCTCAACAACAATTAATTAGTTGGGCAACTTACTTCGTTAGCTAACAGAAACTTGCCAATTGATGTGAACGATTTTTCATAATTTACATCTACAATGAAGGATCTTCTTTCAATCATCCATTATGATTACATGAATAAAGTTCTGCTAAAAAAATCTCTTTATGAACCATCAAGCCACTAGTAATGGGGACCCGTAAACATCGTACTTCGACACTTGAATACATTCTTTCATTATGATCATGGTTTTAATAATTATCCTAAACTATTAATTTCATTTAGAAACACATCGATCTCGTCCTCAAGCAAATTTTAACACTAGTGTTCCATTACGTACAAATTCAACTGCTTCTCTTCGATCGGATGGCTCAGATTCTGAAGTACTTCATCGTCTTGAACATTTAAAACGACAATTAAAAGATAAAGAAGCACGTCTACATCTACATGCTAAATCTGAAGCTGCACTTTTATCCGATATAGAAGAACAAACAACAGTTTCCTATCTACCTCCGTCTCAACCATCTTTATCACGTAAACAAAGTCCAGGATATTTACTTAATACAATGCAAGTTCCTTATCGAAATGCACCATCAACACATGATAAATTACTTCGTGTTCTTCAAACAGATGATGATGATGAATTTAAACCAAGTTATTTTCGTGATGATTCAATTTTAATGCGTGGTGGTGGAGGTGGAGGAATTACTGGTGGAGAATATATTTCACCATCAAAACGTGTTGATTTAGTTGATGGTATGTTTGTTACAGATATAGAAGATGCTGCTAGACGAAGGCGATATGGTTTTGATCCACCAAATTTTTATGATCCAAGTGATCCAACAAGTATGGCTAGTCTTGAATTAAATGTAAGTAAAAATATGTTCAAAAAAATTAAAGAAAAAATATTCGTTTTGTTGTTCTTATTTCTTGTTAAATAGAGAATTGCCGAAAAAAATGAACATCGTTTAAAAAAATTGCGTGATCTCGAAAAAGATGATACGTCTTTATTAGATAGTAACGAAGTACTTGAACGCTTTCAACAAAGACAACGATTACAAGGACGTGGCAGTCAAACCACTCTACAAGATGATGCTTGGCTTAAATAAAAACTTTCTTATCTTCTTATTTTTATATTTTTTTAAAAGAAAACAAAAACTTTATTTTTTCTCGTGTCTAACTAATTCCATGTAGCATGTACACTAATGCGCGCCTATTACAGTCCACTTTTCTTAACTAAAAACAAAGAAACAATGGAATGAAATATTACCATTTATTGTTCAAATTATTTTTGGTACAAATCTCATCTTCTAAAAACTGCTTTGTATTTGCAGCTACATTTTCAATGATTCTTTCTTTATAGACAATAGATAATAAAATTACATTAATAATCTATTCATAGTATAAAATTACGAATTACATGGGACACTGGAAATTTTTTTTTTCGTCTTTCACTCCTAAAAGTCATATTTTAAGTGCAAGTGTTCTTTGAAACTGCTTAGACATCTTTAGGATTATGTGGAAAATTTTAGTCTTTTATATCTATCAGATCAATCACATACCATTTATGATATAATTTGGAAGTGTTTTGCACTATGATTTTACATATAAGTACAATTTTTGTGTCAATAACAAAACTCAATGTAGGATAAAACTAGCTTGATCCGCCAGTCATCTAAATCCAGTTTACGTTACTTATCAGGAGGTAAACAAGCTAACGTGGTGCAAAATCTGCTTCGCATTAAGAGAGTTCAAACTTATACCGAAAACGGTATGTAACTAATCGGCAAAGAATAAAGTAATACCATAATGCAAAAGATATAACAGACTGAACTTGTGTGCATAATCTTATATATCTCTAAGCATTATCATAAAACATTTGTACTTAAATTATGGCTGTCAGAAGAAGTGACAGACGAGAAAATTTTTCTAGCATCCCATGTAATTGACAAATGAATGATTAAATGTTTTGTTAGCTTGTATTATAGTTGGTCAAAATGTTGTTTAGTTAACACTCAAATGAGTTTAAGATAAAATAGAGAGATCATTCTTTCAATAGACTAATTGATAGTGATTCTTATTGAAACATTATTCTTTTCAAAGATAATATTTTTCTCGGTTCATCGATATTTTTGCGCGTGATGTTTCCGTGAATGTGGGTGCAGATGTTTCTTGTCTAGCCACATTCACACTCAATCCTATCCGTATCCGTTTGGATTCGTACTGCCTTCGAACTTGAAAGTCCCCTGTTTAGTGAGTTTGGGTATGAGTTTGCTTCCGGGTCTACCTAATAGTTACTACTATAAAAGTAACAGTCAATTATGTCCATATTCTTGTACGATCACCTTCAAGATAGTCTGAAAAATGTAAAGAGCGTGTTAATTGCTGAAACTAAATAAACGAACAAAGCATTTTGTATCTTCAGAGTGACTATAAGGACGAATTAGAGAATTTGATTGAGGATATTATGCATAGAAATCGGATCCGGGTCCGACTTCGAGCTTGACTCTGAACTAAGTTATCGAAGTGTGTGCGACTCGGGACAGAGTTTGAAAGGTGTTTGACAAATCGCTTCTGAGTTCGGTTCCAGATATTCTGAATTCGACGAGCTCCAGCTGCACCTACACTATGCATAGTTGTCTCTCTAAAATCAACCATACCTCAATTGTATTTATAATGCTAATTTAATAAAATATGCTGATAACTTGTTCCATAGTCTAAATCAGTTACACTAATAAGCTCGTCCATGATGATGTAATGTTAAAGTTTAAATGTTTCTGAAGTTTTCTTTTGAAATATATGTCATTATAAAAGTTCGTAAGTGTTCTATTGATTGTATTGGTTGAGTAAAATCTTGCCGACATAGGCTCAACTGCACTGAATATGATTCGAAAGTGGATCTTTATTTTGATGACTAAGAAGACGAAATATTGCATAATATGTTGATCACGATATTAAAGTTTTGTTTATGTATAGATTACAAAATCAATAATTCTTTTCAATTTTTCAAAACTCACGTAATGATGAATTGAACTTTTATAGTTCGTTTTGACAAATACCTAAAGTAAATAAAATATGGTTGATATTTTACAATTATCCACCAACTGCTGGACAACAAAATTATCACTTAGTTGAAGGAGATAACAACAACCATATCATAAACAAAGTAATCTGGTTCTTTTTGTTTTTGTTTTTACCATGATAACGACAGGTAACATGCCAGGTAATATATAAATGTCTGCTGAAGATTTCTTGTTTATGTTAATGATTTTGTATAGATGGCGTTTTCTTTAGGTTTGATATTTTTATCATTTTAGTTTTCAATAAATTTTCAATGTTTGAATAAATATGCATGATCAAATAATAAACATAGGTGCTCGAAATTGATCATAAAGTCACATTTCATCGATAAAAAATGAAAATTTTATTTGTTTATTCTCTCAATCTTGGCAAATAAAAGAGTTTTTCTCTCTTTGAACTTCATTATGACAATAAGTTGGATTACTCAACAGTAATATCTACATGTAAAATTCATTGTAAAATTTTAATTTACCTCATTGTTTCTTTTATACATACACAACTACAAAATAGTGATACTTGAAACTAAAAAATACGTCCACCTTATTATAATGATAAGACATTTTCAGTTATTTACGAGAGTACACTTTCATCTGTCTTTCGTTTTGCATTAACTTATTCTTTCTCTGCCTTTAACTTCCCTTGGCAGCTGTAAATACATGAACATGTAATAGTTCTTACAGATGCAAATAAAGACATTATAGACTTATAATCTTCAGAATACTTGCAAAAAGTCCATCGTATAATAGTGATATTATGAGCTCAGACCTGTTATTAGTAAGTTTAATAAACTTAAAAATAAAAGTGAAATGCACATATACGTATATATATATATAGATGCTTCAGTATATGTATATGTAACTTAACAGTACATGAAAAAAAGAGATAATATTCTATATAAATTTTAGTCTCATAAGCTGAAAATTTTCAATCTTTTATAGTGTAGAATTATCATCAATGATAAGGAAGAAACATTATGGGTGTGGATTTATCTGTTGGTGGTGAGAAGAAATATACCCATACTCACGCTCAACATGAGACGAATCATGATAGAATTGAAGATTCAAGTAATAAAATCGTATCGAAGCGGATGTCAGTACCCGTGACCAATCTAGTGAGAATGTCACTTCATGGTTATTTGTGATCTATTAGATATCAACGATCATCGAAAAAGAATTAATGGACAATAACGATTTCTCATTCAAATGACATAGTGAAAGATGAGACTGACAAAGGTAATTTTCTTGGAAGATTAAACTCTTACGATGTGTGTTTCTTTCTTCATCGAAATCTTCATGCTTCGCTTTCTGCCTTTATTCGACGATTGAATATGTTTTTTTTAAACCGACACATTCAATTGCAACGAATATGAACATTGAGCACACATCATGGATAAAAACGCGTATAAATCTGTTGTTAGCTATTGATACGGTGGTATCCTGGATTTACTGCCGTAAATAATATTTAAAAGGCGCACTTTGTTTAAATACAAAATTTTAAGAAAATACTTAGGATCAATAATTGATTAAAGTAGCATATAGTATTTTTTAAAACATCAAGATCCAAGAGCTTTCAATTTTTGTTAGTATATATTTTATCCGAGTTCTCGAAAATCAACATAATTATTTTGATAAACACATTCTATCTGAAGAATCTGTATAAATGTGAATAAAAAGAAAGAATCCACTTTGTATTCATCAAATGCTCTGTTGCAAGAAGATGAGATTAGTAAAATCTCAAATTCATTAATGCATCATTTTTTTCACAACTTTTACCACTGTCACCAAAAAATATTAATTCTATTTCACTGAAAAATAATTCGAATCGATCAATCCTTCATCATCTATCAGAGTAATTAAATGTTATTTGTTAAAGTTAAACAAAATAGATCTTAAATCTATCTAATTTCTTATCCTTGAGAGGATGTTAAACATATCTTTGATTTTCCTAATGTATTATTTCGATGAAAATTTTGTTATCTCGAACTTAATTGTGAGAAGTAACAAGTGCTAATCTAAGTGAATTTTTTTTTTCTTCAAAACAAGATAGCGGAATCTTTTCTTGATCTAGATAAACATCAACAAGTTTTTTCCCTTAATTTTTGGGTGAAATCTTTTAGTCAACTACTGTTTTTTTTGCAAATAAACTCCTTATTCTTTATACTTGGATTTTACAACCCTCATAAAATTTTTTATTCTATTTTTTTTATCCCTAATCAAGATCAAAGCTTGAAAATTCGTATCAAAAACTAAAAAGCAGATTCATTTCAAGTATTTTTTCAACCCCCCCCCCTGCTCCATACGAATGATAAAGGTTCCATTATAAAAGCTATTTAAAAAGGATTCATTATTTTTCGACTATTCGCTTAAAGTGTATTATTAAGCTAAAAATGAACCAAGTTATACTATTTGCTTTTGAACAAAACTTGAACAATGAAATAAAATTAGAGTGAAGTGTTCTTATACTTATTTTAATCGATTTATCCTATTAAACATTTCTTCAAAAAGGTTGAATGAAATATTGATACTGTTCAGGTTATTTTATTATATTTGTCTTCAATTTGAAAAGTTGAATTTTTAAATATATTGTAAATTTTTCCGATAATAATCATAAATCGACGTGAGAACTGGCGCGTTTTTCTTTAGTTTTTTTTTACGTTTCGTTATAAATATTAATTTAAAAAAGTCTTTTGCTTTAATAATATTATCAAAATATTTAAAAAATCACTACATCTTTTCCGCTGACATACTCATTGATCCAAATAAGTAAGTTATATGAACTATAGTTTAAGTAAACTAATGATCACAGTAAACTAAAAAAATGACCCGTATATCAAAATAGTAATATTTCAAGTGTAAAACTTCAGAATTTCATTACCGATTAATTTAACTCAATTAGAATATTTCTATAAAACCTCTTCATAGTCCATATGATTATAGAACACTATTCTAACACATCATGATTTTATCGGAAGAGAAAAAAAATTATTTTCTTCAAACGATATATCGAATCGTAAAAAATTGTAAATCCATGATTAAATGAAAGGTTCGTCAGAAATCTATTTAAGAACACTTGGTATGAGAAAATCAATTATTGAGATGAGAGTAGAAAAATAAATTTGAAACGATGTAATTAATTACGAACTATAATTAGTTTTTAATACATTTTCACGAACATTGAACATTAAAGATGAACCTGTGAGATAGAGATGAAAAAACTATTTTTACTGTGATCATCAGATTTATCTAACTGCTTCATATAATTTATGTTGAAAAAAGCGCGTATATTTCCAGTTACTATAAAGAACTTATATTTTTTAAAACATATTTATAACGGCAGTAAAGTAACTGGCAGTAAATCTTGTAATTCATCCTGGCCATTATCTATCATATAGAGGCTTCTATAGTAGCTAGTGATACTACCTATATTAGTGATAAATGTTTACATTAACAATTAAAAAAGTGATCGAACAATAAAGGATCGCCATAGTCTAGTCATATCAGTTTTCATCATGTTTTTTTTTGAGTAACATATAAAATGATATGAATAACAATCGAAATTAACAGTGTACAAAACATCTGACGAAAAAGTGAAAAATAACGATGAAACGAACAAGAGAAAGATATGAAAAGGTAAAGAAACTGGTGCCACTGCACAAATGTTCACAATAAATCCGTATCCGTAGCGACCTTTTTTACTTCGTAGTATTCATCGAAGCCATTGCCATTAAAATTTTTCTTGCCGCCAACGTGATTGTATCTTCCGAATGGTAACAGATTCATAGCGGCATCGTATTTATTAATCCAAGCAGTGCGTGCTTGTAAACGTGAAACAAGAAAATTTGCTTGCCACTTGTCTTTTATTATCACGCCAACAGCCAAACCACATGTATTGTTTACTCGTGTAATTACCTCATCGTAATCATGATATTTCAATATACTCATTATCGGTCCTATCACCTAAAAGAAACAACTTTCTAGACATAAATTTATTTAATAATACTGAACAAACCTCATCACTTGTTATGTCCATGTCATCAGTGACATTACTAAATACTGTCGGTCGAATAAAAAAACCGTTTGTTCCAAAACGTTCTCCACCACACTCCAGTTTCGCTCCTTGTTTTTTACCAGATTCGATATATTTCATAATTTTCTGGAATTTTTCATCGTTAATTTGAGGCCCTTGTTCAGTTTTTGAATCGAACGGATCACCCACCACTCGTCGAGTAGCTAATTCAGCATATTTAATAACGAATTGATCATGTATTTTTTCATGAACAAATATTCTTGATCCAGCAAAGCAACTTTGAGCAGAATTTGCAAATATTGTACGATCGGTTAATTTTACAGCAGAGTCGACTAAAAAGAATAATAGAATACAAAAGATCAAGAAAGTAATTAGACTAATCTCGATACTTACGATCAGCATCTTCACAAATAATTAACGGACATTTTTCAAGTAATTCGAATGACAAACATTCCAAATTTGATTTTGCAGCTAATTCTTGAACTTTTCTACCAACCTACAATTAAAAAGAGTTTCAAACAGATAAGAATGAGGTATAAATAAGTAACTATATACCCCGAATGAGCCAGTAAAAATAACTTTATCGATTCCTTTATGAGTAACGATGAATTGACCACATTCAGAACCATCACCTGGCAAAACGTTCACAACACCAGGGGGAAAACCAGACTGAAACAAGGAAGATCAGAACATTTTTGGAAAAGAGCTTTTTTGCTATTATCATACTTCTTTCAGTAAACTTGCACAATACAAAGCCGTTAATGGAGTCTCTTCGGCTGGTTTTAAAATGATTGTGTTTCCTAATAATTGAAGAAAGTCATAAACACTTCTTAATACAGTGACGTTCGAAACTTGCCGCAAGCTAAAGCTGGACCTAGTTTCCATGCCAACATCATTATAGGATAATTTCACGATATAATTTGTCCAAGGACATCTATCGGTGCATGATAAGAGTGCAAAAATGAATCTGTTGGAGTTTTTGATGTTTCGTTCATTATTTTATCTACCAAACCGGCATAATAATCAATACAATCGGCCGAAACTGTAATGTCCATTTTATTCTCTTCCAATGGTTTACCATTATTAAGAGTTTCGAGTTTCTAAATGATAAAGAAAAGATAGACAAAAGAAAATGTTTTTTAAGTTGCTATAAACGAACCGATAAATAATCAATATCACGTCGCAAATATTCGGCAAATTTTCTCATTAGATCAGCACTATAACAAACCCATAAACACTTTATTTAAGAAAGAAGAGTCTTTTTGACCTCTTACCGTACGGCTGCTTCCATTTTTCTTCACTCAGAATTGTTACGAAATGCATTACGAGCAGCTTTAACTGCTTTGTCGACATCAGCCTACAAGAAAAAAAATGTTTCTTACACTTTCTCTCAAAGTTAGGTTGGACAATTGTTTACTTTTGTTGATTCTTCAACTTGGCAAATTTCCTCACCAGTTCTTGGATCACATACTGGGAATGTCATGTGTAACTCTGCATCATGCCATTCATTATTAATAAAGACAAGGGGGAAACTACTGATTCAACTCAGAAGAAACTCAAAATAAATCACTCAAAATCAAAATAAATCACCAAACTCAGCTGAACTCATTTTAAATCAGATAAATCACCGAAACTCATATTAGATCACTAAACTCAGCTAAACTCATTTTAAATCAGATAAATCACCCAAACTCAGCTGAAACTCAAAAATAAATCATTTTAAATGAGTGGTTTGTTTTTGAAAAAGAATTATTTTATTCTCAAGATACAATCAAACTTGATATTTTTATTCAATTACTATTTAAGATTTTGCTAATTAATTCAAATGGGGTAAAAGAAGGCATTCTATTATACAGTTGTTGAATATTATTTTTGCATCTTAGAATATAGGATATATTTCTTACTGTTAAACTAAGTTAGAAAAAATGCGATTTGATTAAAAGGGACAGATTCTGACGAATAGTTTTTCTTTCGTCTTTGTCCAGATTAAAATGAAACAGAGAAAAAGAAAATTCAATCTATGCCCTGCATCTAGCTGAAATAAAATTATCGAAAATAATTTTTGTTGTATTTCTCTTTTATTGTTCTTTAGATCGATTATTTTCATCTGAACGTCGCTTGACTGTAAATAGGGACGGCGCGAGGAGACCAGAACAGGAGGGGGCTTTTTCAAAAATGAGAGAATAGTGTAAATAAACGTAAAAATACCTGGAAGCAGTCGAAATCAGGAAAAAAGACGTAACGTCAAGTTTTCACTGAATTAAGAAAATCATAAACGATTGCCGATTTCCATTGATTTTTATAAAAAAAATTAAACATTTAGGTGATTTTAAAAAGTCGCACAGTAGTACTAGCTCTTTGTTGGCCAGCGAAAACGCTAATGACACAAAATATAGAAGTATGACATGAGTTTCGCTCACGTTGCATGAAAAAAATGAAGAAAAGGACTGTATTGTGATGATAGGATATCAATTTTGACTTTTTTCCCTTTCATCGATGAAAGCCAACATTTCCATTGAGAACATTACAACTGTTTAATGTTTAATCAAAGTCAAGATACGTATTATTTCGATGAGAAGGTTCCTTCTCATGGATTAAACTGAAAAGCTAGAAATATCGCTTACGTTTCATCATTTAAATTACGTTGTTTTAACTTTTCAAGTCACTACACTAGTGTGTGATATTAAACCTGGTATCTTAGTTTTCAGTTCTGCCTAGTGATAAGAAACCAAGGAGGAAACGACTGATTTAAATCATCCCTAAATCAGTCAAGTCATCATACATCAGCTGATTTTTAGTGAGTTTGAATGAGTTTCGACGAGTTCGAGTGACTATTTCCGATTCTTTG